TTTTTATTTCAAGTGGCATTAAAAAGTCTTAAAAAGTCTTGAATTTAACTTGCCTTATGCTGTAGGAACCCTGGTTATGAAACATATTTAGTATAATTTTCTTATGAAGTCAAATGTCTCAAGGCAGCGATCAGGATCATAATTAAGCCAAAGAACTTATATTACTGCAGTTTACTCTAAATTTGTGGAAACATTTTTTTCCCCAAATCCCCTTTGTTGGTTAACATCACCGTGTCATTTTGCATTCTTGTTGTTTAATTAGCCTGTTTAAGTAAACTCTAGGCCCCAACCTTGTATTAAGATAATTCTCAAAGGGTGGAAGATGGTACAAAAGCAAAAGAGTCGTTCCTCCAAAGGGAAATTAGGCTCATTTTGTTCCCGTCCAGTATCTCCGGTTGCCTTTTTTCTTTTAATACACTGATTAGTTTCACTTGTGAGGGCTTTTAGGAATTATTCAAATCAAACACCCTGGGAAAAGAAAGACACTCTTTGACTGAACTGCTCACAACTCATATTTATTCATATTCAAGCTGTGATTTGAGGCAGTAAGGAGTCATTGATGTATTTCAAAGGACCAAAAGCCACAAAGGCTTCGACAACACCTAAAGGTATTTCTGGAATGGTTGCAGTTATTTAAGCTCACTTCTTGATCTCTTTATTTCCATAATATCAACCTAAAGGAGATAATAATGGTCTAACAGGAAATATACAGCAGGTAATGGATACACAGCCAGATTGTTGGATATGTTGCCTTATGACTAAAGATTCTGGCATAAAGAAAATAAATAAAGTCAGGGGGATATTATGTGATGCTACACATAATAGATAAACATAATTGAAAGACACGTTTATTTCTTTATTGTCTCTTGAATTTCTCAATTTTTAATGTGTGACTAAAGAGATATTAGACACAAAAAAAACATCCAAATTGCTTCAATTCGCCATACTTGGTGGGCCAGTTTACATCTATTTAGAGCTATTGAATAATGAATCCAGTGCAGATAAAATAAAAACAATGAATGCAAAATAGCTCCAAGAAATTGAGAAGACTGCCGTGCTTCAGGAATACCCCGTTGAGTGTTTAACTAGTAAAAGAGCAGCACAGAGCTTTTTTGCCCCACCAGAAATTTAATCTGATCATTTTTTTGGAGGTGTGACTACAGTAAATCTCCACATATACACAGGTGTTTATTTAACAGGTATGAAGAGAAATTAAATGAATTTCAAGTGCTGAAAAAGAAAAAAAAACATGTCAACAATGAACATAACTCCAATGCATAACAAGGAAGTGTCTCCCTCACCTGGTTATAGATGGACATCAAATACTCCCTCTTCGACAGACTCAATGTCTTCTTCAGCTATAACTGATAGAGACAGAAAAAAAAAAAGGCAACTTCATGTAAATGTGAAACAGGCAGACTGGTCAATTAAATGAGAGGGCAGAAAACTTCCTGCAGATCAAGCGAAGCAGTGACTCAATCTTTCCAGCTTTCTGGTTTATTTTTATCTTGTAATCCTGTGCAGCCCAGCGAGCTGCTACTGGTAGTTTTATTTAGTAATTATGTAAAATAAAATCAGGCAGAAAGTAGAGGCTAATTGTATTTCCATTGTACATGAAATTCCAAGAAACGTTTCTAACAGACATAGTCCGTCATGAGGATCTCATAATATTAAGAATAAAAAATTCCACATTATAGAATGTAGTAAATGAACTTAAAAATCCTCTATTATATTCAGTATCAAAGTATATTTAAAAACAAAATTATCATTATTGCTGTTTTTTTTATTTTATTAAATGGATGTAAGTAAAGGCACAGAAAAAGCCAGGCTTTTTTGATTCTATTAGTAGGACAGATAAACAGATACGCAGCCCAAAAATAATGAGTAGTAGGGATTTTTCTGTTTAGTACCTTAATATTCCAGATCATCAAACTAAATTTACAGTCAGATTTGAAAAGAGAACAGGTTACCGATTAATTGATTTGCAGATTTTTCCTATTGAATATTGTACTTCTTATTTGCCACAAGCACTGCTGTTTTTCTACTCTCTGTGTAAGGACCAGCTGAGTTCCCAAGAAAGGGTGGTTCTTAGAACTTTAGAGGTTTCTCACCGCCATTTCTGAGGAGAGGAGAGAGCTCACACCGCTGAGGAGCACCGGTGCTAATTGTTCTTGACATAACAAAGTAAAACACACAAAAAGATGTGAATAAATAGAAATAGAAAAATAGAAATATACCTTTATTGATCTCTCAATGGAGAAATAAACTCTCTGCAGTGGTCTGCCACTATGTGGCACCCGGGGAGCAGAGTGGGTTTAAGGGTTTTGCTCAGAGAGCCAGAGTGTCAGTGTTCTTTGAGATGAGCATTCCAGGTCCGACCAGCATACGCATACTAAAAACCCGTAATCCCTTCAGTTTACACCTATAGTTTTGTTAGAAAATTACACTTTAAACTACCCCAAGTGTGTATCCCTTTAGTCATGTACAAAAAATACTTTTAATTGTCATAAAACAGGACGGATGGACCCAGTATTCAAGATGAGACAGCTAACAGGAAAGTTCAAAATGTTTCTTAAAACAAAACAGAACAGAAACGAAGCATGCTGCTGTGAATCCGTGGCTTACGGCGGCTGCAGGAGGGGGACGGGTCACCGCCCCCACACACTGGCATTCTCTGGTGAAAAGAAACACAGGTAAGTGACCATGATCATCTGACAGAAGATGATATTATCAGTGAGTGACTTACCTGGTTTCACAGTTCAGTCCATCTCCCTAGAAAGGGGTGCGATCCAGACACGGATCAAGACCTGACAACCAGACGCGGCATGCGTCACCCAGAGTGTTCCTGATGCTGCAGCCCCCGAGAAGTAGCAGGAAGCCGATCCAGGTCAGTGAAAGTCAGAGCAGGCAGGAACAGTTCAGAAATCCAAGAAACCTCCGCTCCATCAGAGGTTTTCCATCCAATAGGAAAAGCAGGATCCAGACTTCCAGGAATCCACAGAGCTTTCAGGCAGGTTCAGAGTCAGACAGGTGCAAAAGTGTGCCCTCAGACACGCAAAGAAGCAGACAGGTAGGCTCAGATGAAGACGGGCAGACTCAATGGTTGAGCGAAGCAGAGACGAGACGTTGTTCCAGGATTTATGCAGGACTTTAAACTGGTCTCCTCCTAGGAGCCAGGCTTGCGGGAATAAAACCGACCCTCCCTGCGTCCCGAGCCAAAACCCTGAGGGCTCCACAGAGAAGGGTCAGAACAGGATCAGAGGATGAGTCAAACATGAAACCTCTCTACCCACTGGCCGCCAGGAACCAGGATATGAACCAGGGAATAAACTAAAAACCAAAAAGACAAACGGAAAACAAATAATGATCTGTCCACGATTGCTTGGGCTGAACCGAATATAAAGCAACCGACGCAGGTGGATGAGATGAGTGATAATAAAAAAAGCGGGCAGTTAGGCAGGTGAGTGAAAAGAACAATTAAGGTGAGCTAACAGTCCAGATCATGACATTAATGACTTGCTTTTATGTGTTTTTTGAAGCATATGGCAATCTTAAATTGTTTTTTTGTACATGACCATAGGGATACACGCCCGATGAGATGGTTTAAAGTGTATTTTTCATGCAAAACTAAAGGGATAAAAGCAAATCTGTGTCTTGCGCATTGACTATGGATATGCTGGTCTGACAGAACGCCGGCTATGGTGATCAAACTGGATACTTGCAACCTTCTCAGAGCACAGGCGCACTTTTCTAACCACTACTATTTTAATGTTTATGTTTAATTAGTTAATTAATTGAGAAAAAAATTGAAAGAAATTGTATGCAGAAAGTTTTTTTTTTAAAACTTCAACACGTATATTATTATCAGCGCAGCCGTGAGGGCAGCCTTGTTAGTGGCTGTATGGAACGGAAGCTGGCATGTTTACGAGAAATAGTAAAGCTGTGTTGTTTTCACTGAATTTGTGTTCACTTTGATAATTCTTCGTTTTTTAAAATAGTTTGATGATCTTAAACATTTACTAGTGCAAAAAAAACCCACAGGTAATCTGTAAAGAAGTAGATATTTTATTCAGAACTGTGTAGCAGGCTGCAGTTTGAGCTGAACATTTTCTAAGCCTTTACATCCCATTTGAATTTAATGTAAATGAATAATTTAATATATTTTTTTCATGCAGCAAAGTAAATATCACCTGTATCCTGCAGGCTAGGGGGGTTATTGGCAGGTGGTGGGAAGCTGTAGGACCTGGCCTGAAGGGCTGGTGGAGTCTCATGACTGATACTCTTCGTCCTCTTCCTGCACTCTACGGCCAGCCGACTTCTGCAGGCTTTATGACAGTTCACCCCGCAGGCTGCAGCCGAAGATTTCAACCCCCGGACAAAGGACGCCGGCAGGGAGAGGTGTCGGGAGAGGAGTTGAGGACGGTGATCCGGATGAAGAGGAAAGGAGGATCGTCGGAAGGGGAAGAGAGAAGGAAGGGGCGATGTGCGAAGGGTAGGGAGGGAATGAGGAGAAAAGAGAGGATCAGACAGAGGGACGGGTCCAAACCGAAACATTGGGGTGAATGGGAGAGCTAAAGGAGACAAAAAGGTGCTTTGGCACGGCATGCAGACACAGGAGCACTGGCACGCACACACAGAGAGATCAACTGTGCTCGACATTAACTCTCTAACCTGGGGGGAGTCTGAAAGGAGAGTAGTGATGGGTCATCCAGCAAAATAGCAGAGAAAACTGAATGTTTACCTTTGGTTATGAACAATGCTTTGCAAAATTATCCACAAGGCTTAAACTTTTTCAAATGTTTGTCACGTTATATACATTTTTTGGGGACATTTTACAGACCTGAGGTGTTTTTCAGAGACATTCAATCCATCTAGGTGAACTTTAAGTTATATGTATCTCAAAATGTGTACATTTAGTACAGTCATACCCCAAAGAACTGCAGCAGGGATCACAGGAAAAGGTGAGCCTATAACGTATTGATTCCGGGTGGGCCTTCCACAACTAGTTTCATTTGACTAGTTAACCATTCTTTTCATAGCAGAAATCTAACGTGTGTGTTTGAATGTCACATAAAACAAGCTAGAGTTTGTGGATACGGCAAAACTTGAAAAAGTTTAAGATATGTGGATCATCTTGAAAGACTTTGGAACACAGCAAATCTTTAAAAATCTGTAATTCGAATGTTTGAGAGACAAACATGATTATTTCCCATTGAAAATAAATAAATCTAATCCTTCAGAAGCGTGAAAGTGACTGAAAAAAAAGTCTAAAAACCAAAACACAGGCTATTTTTGTTGTTGTTGTGTTAGAATGAACTGTGACAGAACTGCACCCATTTACCCACCAAGAGGTTTCCTATACTTAAGTCTGAAATACCTGACATCTGCTCCTCCAACACACATCCAGCAACCCACACACAGTCAGAGTCCTCCCACTCCTGCACTGCGCCACAGTGGGTGATTCATTTCAATTACACCCCTGGAGCTCTGTCTCCCTCTCTGAGTACAGCCTAACAATGGTAATGGGGATGAATGGCTGTGGGGCTCTCTCATTGACTTCCTCTGGTCTCATTAATGGAACAAGCCAGAACACACTGAAACTCCCAGTCAGAGTACAGGACTTTGAGTGGATAGGATATTGGAAAGTGTGGGGGTCCAGGGGAATGGGTGGGTAATATGTGTGTTTGTGGATGTACCCACTGCAGGGCCTTTTTAAAAGTGTGCTTGTATTTGACTTACACTTAGCCTTCTTTGTAATATCAAAAGCTAAATATGGGTTGGGCTGTCTTTTATTAACATACATAAAGCCTTATTTTATTGGGTTAATAAAAAGGGATGTTCTTTATTAATATAGTTT